TCAGTATTGGTGTGTATTGTGAAATGATCACACTCTTCTCGAAGCACTCAGTTTGCCCGGCTCCTAAAACATGGCGCTGAATAGTTTTTCTTTCTTTGTTTTTTGTAAGGCACTGACAACTTTTCAGGCTGTTTGGCAGCCCTTCCTCATCTTCCTTTCCTGCCTAACCTGAGTCCCAAGGGCTTAATCCTTGCAATTCACCTCAATCGTTTATGACATTCAATCTCTAAGTGGCCTCACACAGCCTCCCGGGGCCCAGAGAATTTATATGCTGAGAGCTGCCACGTCCCGTCCTGACTTTGCTTCTCAAGTCCAGATCTGCGTATTCTGCCACTGACTCAGCACCACCACTTGGAAAGCTGGTAGGCATCTCAAGTTGAATGTGTCCAAACTGACCTCTGGACGCCTCTCCAGTCTGGCTTCTTTCCTGGTGTTCTTTTACCCTATATGACAACTCTATTCACCCAGTTGCTCAGGACAAAAACCTCTGAGTCGCACATGTTCCTTTCCTTTTTCTGCTAGGCCACAGCGAATCCAGCAGCAAATCCTCTTGGCTTAATAGAACCCAGGCCCAGTCTGTAGGGAGAAGCACCGAGATCCACTGTGACCACACCTTTGTGACCACATCCTACCTTTGGAAATGTCAGCTGGATCATGGGCACTCTTCTGCTCAAGACCCTCCAATGACCTCCACCTCATTTAGAATAAAGCCCTAAGCCTTCCTGTGCCTGTTAGCTTTTGACACTTCCTGTCTCCCCCGTAACGGTCCTTCAGCCGCACTGACCCCTGGGACACCTCAAAGCCGCTGCACCCCCGTGCCCTTGGCTCTTACGGCTCTTCTTTCAGACGCCTGCAGCATGTACATCCTCTCTCCAAGAAGACATCTGAGTCTACTGTCCAAACCATGTTCTCACTCCCCTCCCCTCCATGGCCCTTCCATCCCCTCACCCCGTGTTGCATGTTAAATGTGCCCTGCAGGGGCGCCTGGGTGGCTTAGTCGGTTAAGCGTCCGACTTTCGCTTAGGTCATGATCTCGCGGTTCGTGGGTTCAAGCCCCGCGTCGGGCTCTGTGCTGACTGCCAGCTCGGAGCCTGGAGCCTGTTTCAGTCTGTGACTCTCTCTCTCTCTGACCCTCCCCTGCTCACGCTGTCTCTCTCTCTCTCCTAGAAATAAATAAAAAATATTTAAAAAAAATAAAAATAAAAATAAATGTGCCCTGCAAAAACGCACACCGAAGTCATCACCCCGGTACCATTGAGTGTGACCTTATTTGGAAATAGGATCTTGGCAGTGGTAACCAAGTTGAGATGACATCATTAGGGTGGGCTCCAATCCAATATGCTGGTGTCCTTGTAAGAACACACACACACACAGGGGCACCTGGGTGGCTCAGGTGGCTGGGCAGCCAACTTCGGCTCAGGTCATGATCTCGTGGTCTGTGAGTTCGAGCCCCATGTTGTGCTCTGTGCTGACAGCTCAGAGCCTACAGCCTGCTTCGGATCCTGTGATTCCCTCTCTCTCTGCCCCTCCTCCACCACAGAGGCAGCAATTGGGTGACACAGATCCAAGCCAAGGGCACCAGGGACAGACAGCCACCAGCAAAAGCCAGGAAGAAGCAGGGAGACCAGAGTAGCAGAGGCAGCAGATTTCCGAGGAACAGAGCTGGGCAGGAAAAACTTCTGTCGCCCCAAGCCACGCCACCTGGCTTGTGGTACTTGGTCACAGCTGCCCTAGGAGACTCATACGTCTTGATTATTGATTCTTTGTGCCGCTTATCACTTTCTGAAACTTTATCTTTTCTTGTTTATCCACTTTTAGATTATGGGCACCACAAAAGAAGGGCCGCACAACCTTGTCCGGGGAAACCCATCGACCCTCAGGACTCGTGCTCGGGCTGGGACACTGCCCTGCTTCCCCACTGCCATCAGACTTCTCTTCTTTTTGGTTCTAAGGGTCAGAGACTATTTTGTACATCAAACAGGTGAGTCAACACCCTGCATGCTTAGAAGCACTATGTGAACTCCTAAATGATGAGAACGTTCACAACTCTTTTTTCATTAGACGGATTTGTGAACTAATATTTACACTCCTTTTCCCAGGAATACATGAAGACACAGAAACGCTAGAGTCCTGGTTGAAGGTCACGGGCAGTGTCTCCATCCTGACCTCCTCAGACATCAGGCTGCACTGCCCTCACCTCACAACATTGGGAGCCTAAGTCAGAGACAGACAGAGAACCTTTTCACGGGACACGAAACAAACCCACGAGTTTGGGTTTGTGACCCAAAAGATCACACTAGCATTGACCAAAGGTCTGGGGTAAATTCAACAGAACAGTGACAAGTCCATTTTTAGGGATTTGCTCTTGACCTTAGATAAAAAATATTTATGTAAATAATGAAAAGCTGGTTAAGTGCTTACAATTTTATACTGTATGTAAAAACAGCACCATACCAGGTGCTTGGGTGGCTCAGTTGGTTAGGCATTCAACTTTTGGTTTCTGCTCAGATCATGATCTTGTGGTTTGTGAGTTCGAGCCTTGCATCAGGCTCCAAGCTGACAGCGTGGAGCCTGCTTGGGATTCTCTCTCCCTTCTCTCTGTCCCTCCCCGACTCGCTCTGTCTCTCTTGAAGTAAACTTAAAAATAAATACAAATAGCACCATATGAACGAAGCACAGTGGCACATATTCTATACAAATGCTGAAAATCATGTGCTGTGAGCCATGCCTGACTCTAAGTGAGATCTTGGGCTGTTTCTTAACTGTCTTCCTGCCTCACTTTCATGCCACAGGAGTTGTACGTGCTCTTCTGGCTCCCATTCTTCATCAGAAGAAATAACATTACTTCTTTTTTGTTGTTACAATTAGAGAATTTTTTTTTAATGTTTGTTTTTGAGAGACAGAGAGCACCAGCAGAGGAGGGGCAGAGAGAGGGAGATAGGATCCGAAGCGGGGTTCACCGTGACTGCAGAGAGCCCCGATGCAGGACTCGAACTCACAAACTGCGAGGTCATGACCTGAACCAAAGTTGGAGGCTTAACGCACTGAGCCACCCAGGTGCCCTGATGTAACATTCCTTCTAAAAATGTAAAGAAAGCATTTTAGAATTAGGCAAGGCAGACTTCACTGGGTTACAGCATATATAGGACCAATATGTGCTTACAGGCAAGTCTTTTACTAGGAGAAGGTCTTTCCTAGAAGTGATGGAAAAAACAAAAGGCAGTAGGACAGGCTGTATCATGGGCCGTGTGTCCACAGCGCGTGCTTTGGGAAGGCCCGGGATGCAGCAGACCCCAACCCACCATCCGAGACTGGCACCAGAGGGCTTCTGTATGTGCCTCTCTCACTGGCCTGTTCCTGGCCCGGCCGGCCCCATGATAACTCAAAACAGGGACACTAAAAAGCATTCTTCATAGGTTTAGGAAAAAGGATACATACATTTAGTGAAGCAGATTTGCTTTTCTAATTATATATTTAATATTTTATTGATAACTAGTATATGCTTTTAAACACAAAGCTACAGTACTATATCATCACACCTAAAATGTGTCAACTATTTCCTATAAAATATTCAGTTTGTGCTCAGCTCTCCCTGTCTCAGAAACGTTTATATGAATGACATGCGACTTAAACAGATGCTAAGTGATTCAGGCCACCGTTTGCCGTCATTCTCCTGGTGTGCGCACACGCCAGCCCGAATGATCCGGAAGGCGGGCTCCAGAAATCCAGAGGCAGGCATCTTGGGTGAACCATACAACCAGGCGAGTGGGCTGTTGAAGCTCTTTTTTGTGGCCCTCTGCTGCCCTTTTCAAAACATGACACCAGATTCCGCATCTCTGTCACTTCAGCAGTCACACAGAAGGACCTGCCAGGAGCATCTTTAACAGCGCATTTTAGAGCGTGAACCCAGCCAGCTCCTCTCTGGGCAAACAGAGCCTGTTGCCCCTGGAGCAGAATCACTTGCGGACCCTTGATTCTGTAAGTCTCCAGGTTGGAGGGTCGCCTCCTCGACTGCCGGCCCCACAACCATCTTGGGCTTTGCAAACTACAATTTAGGGGGGCAAATGCTCCTAGTTTCACAGGCAATAAAGGAACTGGTTAGGACTGAGTAGTGGTTAAGGCGTGAGCCAGGTTGAGATGGCTCCAGTGCGATTGCATAACAGCAAGCAAAACTAAGCAAGAATCGGGGCTTGTAGCTGAGGAATTCCAAGGGAGGTTCCAGGATCCCACGAAGGGCCCAGGTGCTAAGTGTACTGTACAAACAACACTATTTGAATACATAACGGAGCCATGCAAACAAATGCTAAAGTCATATATATACACACAGATAGAAGAAGAAGAAGAGGAAGAAGAAGAAGAAGAAGAAGAAGAAGAAGAAGAAGAAGAAGAACAACAACAACAACAACAACAACAACACACACACACACACACACACAAAAGTTGATGAGTCTAAACAACAGGGTGGGTCCAGGATAGGCACACATGAATATCCGGTCTACGCCTCAGGCAGATCTTGCATGATTCAAGCCCGCAGGGGTATAGAAGCAAACGCAGGACTTCTGGCAAACGTTCAAAGTTTGCCAGAGAACCAGCAAGCGCTTTGCTTAGGTGGCGCGCGCCCTCGGAAGCGGAGACCCGGGAGCGCGCGCGCGCGGAGGAGGGAGCCACCCCGCGCTCCCGCGCCACCTCCCAGGACACGTTGACACTGGGAGCCGGACCCGGCGCTGGCGGGGGATGCTCGGCTCGCCCTCCAGGCGCTTTCCGGGAGCGCTGGGCGGTCTTGGTGGGGATCCGCAGGGTCGGGGTGGTGACCACTATCCCAGGGGGGCGCAGGGGAGGCGCGGAGAGGGAGGCAAGGCAGGGCACGTGTACCACATCACGGCCAAGGCCACGCCTCGGGAGGTCAGGTCTGGAAAGAGCTGGCTGGAGGAGTGTCGGCGCTGCCGGAGGGTACGGCTTGGGGGTCAGGGCTAAAGTAGTCCCCGCCCAGGGACACTCACCATCCTCTAGCGCTTCGTGCACGAGCAGAAGACCAAGCAGCAGCCAAACCTTCATCTTCAGGGCAGGGGGCGCAGGCAGAGGTGCCGGGACCGCGGTCGGAGGAGCCCCGGACAGCACGGGGCGAGCGCAGGGGCGCCGGGGGAGGCGGCGGGCGAGGGGCGTGTCGGGGCGGGCGTCTGGGACGCCACAGCTGGAGGATTCAGTTTCCTGAGGTGGAACCCAGTTTGGGGGAAAAGTTTGGTTTTTTCTCCCCCCTCTCTTAATTCTGTGTAATGTGACCTCTCCTGCCCCCTGGCGGAGCAGTGGAGAGAGGCGCTTTCTCGTGCGCTGAGCGCAAGGGCTAAGGGCAAGATGTCAATTACCAAAGTGGTTCCTGCAATTTCTCCAGCTGGGCTGTTTACCTCGTTTACTAACTTCCGCAAGGCCCAGTGGGATCCCGCAGGTACTGACGGGATCACGTTTAACCGTAATTGTCCAACTGTCACCAGCACTCTCCCCACCTGCTTAGGCGGAGCCTTAATGCTCTGTCAAAAGTACTCTAGATCTTTCTGTTTATTGCCAGGTCTGCCACTTGTGCTAACAAGACCGTCACCCTCAGCTGTTTCTGCTGTTCCGCTGTGTCCGGGCAGAGACGGGCTCTGCACCCAACCCTTCAGCTGGACATGGGCTTCTCCCCTGCGGCTGAGACGTTAGAACCCTGGGGCTCCCAAATGGGGACGCTGGCCTTCCATCAAAGGGACTCACAGAAGGCCAGCTCCTTCCTTAATATCCCAGCAGAGGCTTTGGAGAAATGCCTGGACGCTTTTGTTCACAAGTCCCATTGCACAACACTCAGGTGTTCTGGATAGACTGCCAGGAAAGAGTTCCAAGAAACAGCATCAGCGCCCCTGGCCTCCCCAACACACACATACACATCTTTCCCTCGGAGTAAAAATCAGCACTCTGGGATTCTTTTAAATGTAGTATCTATATTCTCCCAGAAGGCTCTGCAGTTCTAGCAAATTCTTCCCCAGCCCTTTCAGGTTAGGAAACCCAGAGAGGTTAAATGGTGCTCCATGTATCCTCTGGATGCATATTATGAAGCAGGCTGAGGAGGTGATTAAAATGAAAAGGAAAATCTATTGCGGCGCCTGGGTGGCTCAGTTGGGTAAGCGTCTGACTTCAGCTCAGGTCATGGTCTCACAGTTTGTGGGTTCGAGCCCTGCGTCTCACTCTGTGCTGACAGCTCCGAGGCTGGAGCCTGCTTTGGATTCCGTGTCTCCCTCTCTCTGCTTCTCCCTCGCTTGTGTGAGTGCATGCTCACTCTTGCACACACACTCTCTCTCAAAAATAAACGTAAAAAAAAGAAAAGGAAAAAATATTGCAAACTAAAATATAATTAAATTCTAAGTGGTATAATATATGCTATTAATAGTGGGGAAGTTCAGAGGGGTGGGAAATCCAAGGCTATGGCTTGAGTTTGGAGACCTCAGGAGGGAGGGGAGGGGGCAGGAGTGCATCATCTCTGATTCCTTGGCGGGTGGTCAGGAGAGCATGGGTCAAGGCACAAAGCATAGACCTGGCACCATAGCTTGGGCTGGCCAGGCTGGAAGGGTAGCTCGCTTATGGGAGCAGAGCGGGAAGGAGACTGAAGCGGGAGTCTGGGGCGCGGAAGGCAGGCTGTGGTGGGGTGCAAGATTGGGGCATTCGTGCGCCCCTCTGCAGAGAGGGGGAGTTGACAACTTCACTCCTGCCCTGCGTTGGAGCCTGGGCTCAGTCTACAGCTCCCCTCCCGCACTCCACACAGTCGCCAGGCCCCGCCTGGTCTACCTGTTGACTGAATCAAGGCCACCCCTCTTTTCCATCATCCCTCGCCTCACTGCCCTGGCCACACCCAGCTAGTTGGTCTCCCTGCCCCTGCGTCTTGCACCCCAATCCACCCTTTCCTCAGCAATCACATCTATCTGAGAATCATACTCTAAAAAATTTAACCCAACTGAGACCTTTCAAAGGCCCTCCAGCAAGGCTGAGACTCCCAAGTTCACAGTCCTGCTGGCCTCTCCAGCTGCTTTTCTTGGTGCCACTCCCTGTCCTGCCCTCCCACTAATAGCACACTGCCCTTGACACCCCCCCCCCAGCCATCATGAGGGTCCACTGCTCCTGTGGCTTCCTCTGCCCCAAATAGCCCCTTTCCCTGATTTACCACCTGGCCACCCTCTCACCACGCCCCAAGCCCTGGCCTCACTTCCCCTCTAAGACTTAGTTCAGACCTTGCCTCCTCCAAGCTGGTCTGAGCACTTCCCTGGTAATAGAAACTTCCATCATAGCACTTAGAACAGAAGGCAGCTTTTAGCTGTAAATCTGATTATGCTTCTTTCTCCTGCGCTATTCTATGAGTTCAAGGGCAGGAAGTGCATCTTGCTAAATGTCTTATTCCACCACCAGGTTCTGGAAAGTAACAATTCCTTGTTAGGAGCTTACTATGTTCCACATGGTGTTTATTGATCTAATCAACAAGCCTATAAGGTAGGCTGTGCTGTTAGCATCATCTCTCTTTTACGGATGAGGGTGCCCAAAGTTAAACTTGCAGCTGAGGCATAATCTGGGCTTTGTCTGACTCCCACATCTGTGGGTCTAATCCCTCATTATACTGGTTAAAATGAGCTGTTGAAATCAGTATGAGGGGCGCCTGGGTGGCTCGGTTGGTTAAGCATCTGACTTCAGCTCAGGTCATGATCTCACGGTTCGTGGGTTCGAGCCCCGCATTGGGCTCTGTGCTGACAGCTAGCTCAGAGCCTAGAGACTGTTTCAGATTCTGTATCTCCCTCTCTCTCTGACCCTCCCCTGCTCATGCTGCCTCTCTCTCTCTCTCTCTCTCTCAGAAGTAAATAAAACATAAAAAAATAAAAAAGAAATCAGTATGAAGAAAAGCTATCAAACAGGGGCCTGCCTGACCTGTAAACTGGAGACACTACTAAGTTGTCCGTCTTAAACTCCTGAGACTAGAGGCAAATACATTATGACTTGCCTCAACGTTGTGCAAGATGGCAAGGCAATGGATGAATTGCACAGCATTCCAAAGAGACCAGAAACACACCCTCTGCTCCTCCTTTGTAAGAGCCCGCCATTGAAGGAGCCATTAGAAGAACAAAGCTAAAATGTTAAGGAACTATTAGAAAGCCAAATGGATGTAGGGGGAGGGGGGGATGGGCATGGAGGAGGGCACTCGTGGGGATGAGCACTGGGTGTTATGTGGAAACTAATTTGACAATAAACTATTTGTAAAAAAAACCAAAAAACAAAAACAAAACAAAATCCAGAGGCCATAATAGACTACACGAAGTTAGAACATTTGTAATGCAAAAATACAGTAAACAACCATAAAATACAAAAAAAAAAAAAAAGCCAAATGCGGACTGGAATGAAGGTTGAGGATTCGCCAGCAGCCTCAGACAGGAGGAGAGTCCAGAATCACGCAGGAGCTCTTCCCGCCAGCCTCTGCGGGTTGGTCATGATGAAAAGAGACAAAATGACACCACATGATGGGAAGACTGGCTTTAATGACGAGCGGTACTCAGCTGCTCCACCTGTGTTTCCTTTTACTTAAAGAGCTTTTTGTTTTCCCAAAATTACTCAATTGACCCACTTAAAAATATTTTAAACCTCCACAGAATTATATGGGACAGAAAATTATTTTTAAAAAAATAATAAAAACACCTTTTCTCATCCCCTCCCCTTCCTACTGGCTATAAAATACTGCATGGGAAAGACCCACCATAGCTTAATTGTTCCACTGATAGCTAGTTTGGTTGTTTCAAACACTATCTTACAAAAAATACTGCAGTAACTATTGTGATCCAAATATCTTGATGCCCATGAATATTCTATAAGATAGATACCTAGAAATTAAATTATTTGGCCAAAGTCATGATATTTAACATTTTTGGTGAACACTGCCAATTAAAAAGCTGTTCCTATTTACAACCAATTCCGTTTTCCTTGGAAGCACCCCCACCAGGATTGGATGCAGTCATGCTATTCAATTTTTTAGAACCTGCGGTGGGGGTGGGGAGTCTCATTATGCTCTTTTTTTTTTTTTTTTTAAGTTTTATTTATTTGAGAGACAGAGGGAGTGAGCAGGGGAGGGTCATAGGGAGAGGGAGAGAGAGAATCCCAAGCAGGCTCCACACTGTCAGCACAGTGCCCAATGAGGGGCTCAAACTCACTAACTTCGAGATCATGACCAGAACTGAAATCAAGAGTCTGGTGCTTAATCCAATGAGTCACCCAGGTTCCCTTCACTAGGCTCTTTTAATTCCCATTCCTTTTGTTACTATTGAGAATGAGGATGTTACTGTGTTTTTACTAGCCACTTGTATTTGCCAAATTTTGAAAATTGAGTTATTTTTATTATTGTCTTACAATAATAGGATCTTAACATATTCTGGCTATTAAGCTTTTGGGTGTTATACATATTGCAGACACTTCTTCTAATCTTGTGCTGGTGTTTTAGTTTTGCCAATGGTGCCTTTCTTGGAACAATTACAACCAACGTTTAAGCAATTACATTTTCAGGAACTTCTTTCGTGGCTTCTGGGTTTTATATCTCTTTAAGTAGGCCTTCTCTGCCTCCAATTGTCCAACTACCTTATATTTTCATCTGAAAGTTTCATAATTTTGTTGTCATGTTTGGTCTTTAGACCCATCTATAATTTTTTTAGTATCACAGGTTAGAAATCTAATTTTTTTGTTTCCATTTGGCTGCTCAGTGTCACACTATCATTTGTTAAAAGATTGGTCCTTTTTCTGTCTTTTTGGATTGACTTCTAGTGTATATTAAATTATACTTGTATATGGGTCTGTTTCTGTTCTATTTTAGTCTATTGATTTCTTTATAGAAATACCAGACTGCATTAATTGGTACTGATTTATAGTATGTTTTGTCATGTATTTGGGCCCCCATCACTGTTCTGTTAATTATCATTGTACATTTTCTCTTCCAGGCAAAATTTGGAATCAGCTTGTCAATCTCCATAAAAATTTTATTGTGTTTTGATGATTACATTGAATTAATGTTTGGGTGGAGAACGGTCATATTTAAAACATTGAGTCTTCCCATCCAGGAATGTGCTAATGTAATGTAG